GGCTTGCCAGTAAAGCGTACAACAAAAGAATGTCGGGGTACGACGCAAGAGGAAGATCAAGGAAGGCTGAGATCGAGGATGTGAAGGATACCCTGAAGACCCACGAAATCCCTCTTAGCCAGGTCATCCAGCTTTCCAGAGACCAAAACTCTTTCTCCCCTCGACAAAATAGATGGTACAACAGGAACGATAAAGCCAAGTAAAAGAAAAGTACTACATAATATGTAATGGCTGACAGGATAGAAGGCTACCCTAGAATTACAAAGTTCTGTCTGCTCAGTGCCTAGTTTTGAGAAATGTGGCGTTAAAAACATTGGTGAGTTTCACAACTTGTCAAGCCTTTTTGAATGCAGTTCTTTGAATATCTTGATAATGACTTGGAATAACCTTACGACAACATTGATAGAGCAGATAGAACATTTGGTTTCTGATCTCAAGGTCTTAGTAACTCAAAAAGGCCATAGATGTCACATAGAACTAAACTATCGACAGTAAACCGGCAATGTTAGAACTTTAAATGTAGGTCTTTTACGTCTGATGACACAATAATTTCGATAATCAAGAAAGTGGGGTTCAACCCAGCCTGTCAGGGCCAACTCGGCGCCGAGATCCTCAATAAAAGTTCTCCTCACCCGGGAATCGAACTCGGGTCTCCCATGTGCATCAGCGAAGGGTCTAACCACTACACCATCAACGACTGCAGAAAAACAAAGAGCGGGATGGGCTTGGTGCAAACAAACCTGAACCCTGTCTATACTATTATGATGAGAACTGCAACTGAAACGGTTCGGATTTAATTATATTTAATTTTACTTTTTTTGTACATAGTGATTTCTTCAAATCCCTTTTATTTTACTTTTACCACAAAAGTCAGGTGCCATGGGCTCAAGATGACGATATCAAGCACACTCAAAAATGTTGTTTTATAATAGCGTATTGCAACGGGGCACACAGATATGTTAACCAGTGGCGAACCGTCTATATAATCAAATAATCACTGCTTCCCTTCCTAATTTTGAAACGTTGTAGCAGTCAAATTCACCCTTAAACGTGAACCTTATAAA